ACTCCAACATTCTGCTCTGACACAGGTTTTGCCACATCTCCTCAGCTTTCTTACAGCGTCTTCATATGAGGATTCACAGAAAAGCAGGAATTCGAATCTAAAAACCACCCCAGATACAGTAGTTTGTTTTAGACCAGGAACGTTCGTCCAGCTTCTCCTTTCTGTAATATTCCTTTCCTCGTGTCTGAGTAATAAATAAAAATTTCAAAGAGTGAAGCACCGCTAGAGGACTGCAAAAATACGTAATTTTAAAAGAGAGAGAGAGAGAAAGCAAGTCTTCACATTCGTCTCTCCGAGTGACATTTTCTAAGGGGAAGCCTCAGCCCTGTTCTGGTCCTACCACAGTCTGGGTGAACGGGCTGCCTTCAGGGACGCTTTCTGCGAGTACACAATTTTGTTTGGGATCAACCAAACTTAGATTGCCCGTGGTCCCTTTAAGTAAATTAAAACCAGCAATTGTTCACATGCAAGAGCTTTAGTCATCTCGATGTTCAAAAACAGGTTTACTATACAAAAGCAGACTAATCCAGATCATCTTAAAATTTTCTAGCATAATTCCCCAAGACTATGAATTTCAAGAAGTAGGGCTTCCCTGGTGGCACAGTGGTTGAGAGTCCGCCTGCCGATGCAGGGGCCATGGGTTCGTGCCCCGGTCCGGGAAGATCCCACATGCTGCGGAGCGGCTGGGCCCGTGAGCCATGGCCGCTGAGCCTGCGCGTCTGGAGCCTGCGCTCCGCAACGGGAGAGGCCACAACAGTGAGAGAGGCCCGCCTACCGCAAAAAAAGTAGTAACACTACCAGCTTATACATCATACTTCAATAAGCCCGATTTCTCTCTAAAGGATCTTCACCCATCATATAATTTGCTATTTCGAGAAACAAAGATTTTTTTACATCCATAAGTTCTAGGCATTCCATGATACGCAGCTACCACGGTGCGGTGACTTCCTTCTTTGAAGCCATACCACCCACCATTAGTCAATTCTAGGATAACCCACCAAATTTACAAAGAAATCTGAAGCAATGAAGGAATCTATGTTGCCAAGGGCCAAACCTGTAGCAGGCATGGCTATCACGTGACAGCAACCCCTTAGGTAAATATTATCATCATCCTTTTTTAATAGTTGAATTCTAAGAAGCTTGGAGAGGTCAAGTGACTGGGCAAGGTCTTAAAAGCTTTAAAGGGGCAGAGGAAGGCCTCACACCCAGACTAACTCCAAAGTCCAAGCTCTGGCCACAACGCCTGCTCCTCCTGTGACTGGTTCATGAATTTTACTCTCAACTGAGCTGAAAAGGTGGATTCTTTTTATATGTCCACCTACAAGGACTTTTTTGAGGACCAGTCTGTTTAACAGTTTCAGAACCCTGGCTATCCCCTACATGACATTTACATTACAAAGTGTTTCTCATTATATGTACAGCTGTTCTAAGTGACACAGCCCACAGGACCACAGTGGGCCCAAGAGCTCTAAATTTCAAGAGAATTGCGTGAACAGTCAGCACATCTGCACATCGATATCAGCAAAACTGTAGAGATCTGATAACTTCGATGCTGATCAGCTACAAAGTTGCTGGACAGATTTCCTATTACTATGCAAATGAACATATTTAGTTAACCCCAAAATATCACCAACTGAAAGCAATTAACAGCATTCCCAGTCTAAATCAGATCTCAAGCCTTAGAGCCATATATCCTGACAAGAATTTGCATGAAAAGCTCTCAGAAGCTGTTAAAATAAACACAAAAATTCACACTTTAGAAAGCACTTCCTTTACCTCAGAAATCTTTTTCAAGATACAAGCCTGTTTGCTTAATCTAAAACAAAAGCCCCGGTTTCACAAGCTGCTGTTTAATCAGTAGCTGAGTCCCACCGGCTTCACAGACTTCCGTGAGGTCCTTTATCTGGAACTGCTAAAAGCTTCCTCTGTACTCTGTGACCTAATATGCCACAGAACAATAGAAGTGAGTTTCCTTGTCTCACCACTATCCTAATATTAATAACAAGTTGTGGACTTAGAGGAATGCCTTCATGCATACAACATCTTCCTTTATGATGTGAATTCTGAGAATTTTACAAAAGGCACATAAATATTTGCCAAGAGAAGAAAGGTCTGATAACTATGATCTGGAGAAAAAGAATTTCTTAACTGTAATCTTAGTTTGGTAACTGAACTGTGTGTGGAACAGTGGACTTCCTGCCTTTACGTAAGCTTCCTAAGTGAGGACCGGGATCTCAGTCTATATAACAAGGGCCTTTTCAGAAATACAGATTCTCAGGAAAGCCCCCCCACCCCAGGGAGGACATAAGGGACTCTCAGAGTGATAAAGAGATTCTCCCCCCCAAATTCAACCTAGAAATGCCTTCTTGCCTGATGGGCAAAGGCAATCCACATATTTACAAAGCTTATTATGACTGAATGGGTAAATACCTTTTTTCAACTTTAGAACCTAGAAATGATTCTGGATGACAAAGAAACGTGGGATAAATGAACTTCGATTTAAATGATGAATTTCAGCTAACTGTCTCATTTCCCCATGCAAACAGGCTGGCAAAGGATACAATTCAAGTATTTTTTCCAACCTACTGTTGATAAGCCATGCTTTCTCCAAGGCAGTATTAACCAGTTTGAACTTTAAGCAGAACAAGGCCAAGGAGGCAAAGACCATATACAATGGATCTACTCTGAATTTGAAAATGGCCAGCTCTCCCTTCGTAAGGAGTACAGGCCCCCAGATAATCAAAAGCTTGATAGTTGTTTTCAATGTTTAACTGCTCTTTTATCTACTAGGTATGTTCCAGAGGGGTTCCTCTTTCTTAACCAGCGAACTCACTTATCAGGATTACCTCAAAGGTTTCTTTACTCTTCTTGGTCAAGAATCTACCCCCATTACCAGGATTAACAATCTCTTCTGAATGGAAATAAAAACTCCCAAATCTATGTGTGATTGTGCATCTTTTCCACATAATTTAACCGTAGTAGGTATTTGTCATCCATAGGCCACAAGTCTCACCATACACCCTCCAAGCAATAGAACATGAGGGAAAATCTACAAAAGCTGCTACAAGTCACCGAATAGTTCTTTACATTTTTTTAATGCCAAGATTTAATATTTCTATTTATGGATTAATTTTCTTGATTGCTTTGTTTTACATACAACACTCCAACAAAAACTTCAATTTTTTGATTCATACCTCCATGAAATAGTAAAAGAAGGCAATAAACACATTAAGAGGTTTATAGGGACTTCCCTGGTGGACCAGTGGTTAAGACTCTGAGCTTCCACTGCAGCGGGCACGGGTTCAATCCCTGGTCGGGGAACTAAGATCCCGCATGCCTCACGGTTCAGCCGAAAAAAAAAAGGTTTATAAGCAGCCACATTTCCAAAGTTTCCTAAATAGAATCTGTTTTACAAAATATGTAAAACTTCGATTAAGAGCAAAGTCACCTGGAAACTTCTTGAATCCCTTTCACATATGTAATCTTTATCCACTATCCTATTCTAGTGCTAATTTTCAATTTCCCTATGAATATGTTTCAATATCAACATCGACACTTCTCCCTACAGTCTTTTATAATTTCCCAGGTACTTTCTGTGACTCTTACCTGGGCTGCCTATACACTCCTCATAATATTCACTCTTCTTATCTATCAGGTCAGAAAACAGAATTCACCTTACACATATTTGATCTAAGGCAGTGGCAGAAATTTAGCAATACACTACATGGTACAATGATAACAGTTTATACCCAACTAAAGGGCACTCAATGACATAACCTGGTGTGTCTCTGGAAACAATTATATTTAGCTTCCATTGTAGATGTGTTTGAAAAATATGTCTTTACCAGGGACAGTACCTTCCACATTCTGCACCCAACTAACATCATTCTAAAATAACTCTTGACCTCAAGAGTATTCTAAACAGCTAATAAGAGACCTGAAGTGGTAAAGCAGAAAAATCACACAGCTAAGGGAATCTAAGACCTGGGTTTAAGTTGTGGCTCTTCCTAAAATTTAGCTGTGTCACCTTGGGTAGGTCATTTGACCCCCAGGGCCTATCTTCAGCTGCAAAATGAAAGAAATTGGACTAAATTTTCTTTAAGGTCTCTCCCATCTCTAAGATTCCATGATTCTATGAAATTTCAGTCTCCCCTCATTTCAAAGATAAGCAACAGATGATAATGGCAAACTCGCCTAGATTATTTTTTTCCTTAAAAAAAATTATCCAACTTGAGATGCTTTCCTGGACTGAAGTTTTATCTGAGAAAATAAACCACAAACGAAAACGATGGGGAGAAAAAAAGAAAATCACACACTGACGTAGCTAAAATAGAAACTTCAATCACCCTTGGGCCATTCTGTCAATAGTTATTCAAAGGCTGCTACTCTAATCACTGGCTTCCTAAAGTAGAGATATTTATAGAGTGGTTTCCTTCTCATCCCCAGAGATTCAATCTGAATAAAACGCACAGCGTCTAAAATCAATTTACAACTTCAGAACAAGTTACAGGGAGCGAAGGAAACTCTGCGCAGCTCTCCAAGTCATTTGCATTTAAGTATGATTAGGGCTAAGAAACGGTTCTTATTATAAGATGTGAGAAAAGCACAGGAGGCAGGTGACATCTGGAAAAGGAAGCAGAACTGCCAGCAAGGGATGTAGGCTGAGGACCTTCAGGCAACAGGTCCAGAGCCGGTGCTGCAGTCTACCCCGGGAGGGGCCGGTCGCTGCCGCCCCGCTCGCAGTCCTCCCCAGCCCCATCCGCATCGCCTCGCCCCCGCTTCGGCCCTCGAGAGGCAGCCCGCCCCCCCCCCCGCCCCGCCCAACACACGTCCCTGCTGCAAAATCTCCCTAATCACTCGTTTCCCCGGGCCTCCCGCCCCGGCAGGCCCTCCGATTCCTCGGCGCCGAGGCCGGACCGGGCCTGCAGCCTCCTTCCCAGCCACCCCCCGTCGCAGCGGCCCCGCAGCCCGGTCCCCTCAGCCCCGTCCCTGCCTCGGGCCCGCTCACCTGCACCTGTTTGCGGAAGTGGCGCGGCCCCGGCACTGCCAGCGGCCAGGAGCAGCAGCAGCAACGGCGGGGGCCCCGGCATCTCGCCCACGGCGCGGCACCGGAGACTGGCTCTCGGGTTGCCTTCCGTCCGTCCGTCCGTCAGTCGGTCCTGTCTCCCTCCGCTGCCTCAGCGGCACCCGCGCCGGCTGCTCCTGAGCACACGTCGTTTCGGCCAAACCTCAGCCCAGATCCTGGTCCGCACCCACCGCTCCAACCACAGAAACACCATCCTTCCTTCCTGCCCGCCCGCCTGCGCCGCCGTCGCCGCCTCTCAACAGAAGCAACGGCAGCAGCTCTGCGGAGCCGCGAGCCAGTGCAGCCGCGCTCCCACCGCCATGATGGGTTGCGTCATGTGACGTAGGGTGGAGGGGGCGGGACGCCGTGATAGACAGCCCACCCCGCCAATCGTCAGCTCCACACCCGCCTGGGAGGCCCCGCCCATCACCCTGGCTGAGGGAGGGTGGCCGCCGGTGCGCCCCCTGCAGACCAAGAAGTGCGTGAGCAGCAGGTGATGCCAGCAATTATTTTACAATTTTTTAAAAAGGGAAGTATAAAGAAGATAATGAAAAGCATCCAGAATCCATTCTGAATTTTTTTTCTCAGTATTTCAAAACGTGTAAAAATAGGCCTGTTTTGTCTTCTGCCTTTTTTACTTGCAACAGACGTTTTAGACTCTTCTTAGGTTGACCTATCAGCCACCAAGGAGCTTTGGGCTTTTTTATTTCAATTCAACAAGAATAGAATACCTCTCCCCTCGCACCCACTAGTTCAGCTCCTGAGCTCAAGCTGTTCCTCTTGGCAAGAGTTCCCTTCCTGTCCTTTCTTGGCCACCTGGCACACTCCCTTTCCACTGTCGAGACTCACCTGAAGAATGATGTCATCTAAGAAGGCCTCTCCCAACCTCAGGAGAAATAACTAGTAACTCCTAGTGCCCCTCCCTGGCCCTGGACAGACTGCTATCCCAGCTGCCATATTTTATTGTTCCTGTGACGATAAGTTCCCTAAGGACAGGAACTGTGCACGTGTCCTCTGGGGGTGGCTCTAGTAGGGATTCTCCAAAGCAGTGGTGCCTGGTCCTGGGTGCCCGCCTCTTCCCACCAAGTGACAAGACTCAGCCAACACGTGAGGAGATCATCCTTTTGCAGAAAGGGTAGAGAAAAAAATACTTTCCAGGTAGAACTGACAATGATCAGAAGCCTGGAGGCTGGGAAAATGCTGGGCTCTTCCGGAGAATGCACCCATAGTCCAGTTTGTGCATGAGAGGGACTGTTTTGAACCTTATCAGATGGGGCAGCACGGGGGAGCCTCCCCAATTCTCCGGACTCCTCAAATGTCCATCCCAAATGCCAGCTCTCTGTAGGGGGCTAACCCCGTGTGGGCGCATGGACCATGCCCAGGGGATATTTGTTGAATGATTAAGACAAGCCAATAAACACCTAAGTAAACAAATAGCTGGAATGTGGAAGTGCTGGGTTAAAGCGTATATGGCTGTCTGCTGATCTCTATGTGGGAAAGGAAAGGAAGGCAAAGGTCTGGAAAAGAGCCACAATCACCCTGTTGTGCTCCTCCTTGGATCAGGAAGCTCCGGTCTTAGAGTTTGAGAAAGCCAGGGAATGCTCACACTGTTTCCCGTGGGGAGTCACTGGATTTGTGTGCAGCAGTGCTGGCCCAACCAAAGCCCTGACTCATAATCCTTGTGGCTGTTAATCATAATTAAAGTGAGCTCCAACGACCACATGTCAGACCACAATCCCAAAGCAGGTTTCGTTATTATTTGACCAGCTGAAAAGTTTTTTAAAAAACTTTTTTCCTTTCCACTTCACAGAGCAAGGGTTAAGGTGCACATTCCTCGGACGGTTTCTAATGGAAACCTTTAACCTACCACCTACCTCACTGCTCACATCTTTGCCCAGTGATTCTCTTGAAGACTTCCAGTTAGAGAATTTATAAAGCAAATAAGAACCTGTTTGCTTTGTTTAGTTTCCTCTAGGAATCAGAAAACAGCCTTTGGCACAATTTGGGATTAGATCCCTAAGATGAGAAGCAATATCTTTCAGTGTTTCTATAGCTGTTCTCACCTGTGCTCAGCCTTTTCCAATTTTTCTTGCATGCCAAGCCATCACTTGGATGATTCTACGGGCATTGTCTGTCCTGCCAGCAAGCTCTGGCTGAGGGCTGCATTCAAGGGATATGGATTCAGTTTAGTACTGGATGAGCGTGCATCTCTGAGGATCTGGCACTCAGCGAGTACCCTAAATGTTTGCAGGGCTGAGCTGGATCAAATGGGTGCATCTGTGAGGGTCCTGTCAGTGGTATACTGGAGCCAGCTGGTACCAGCTTGTGAAAGCCAATTGTTAAATCTTCAGGAATTTTGCATGCCCGTTGTTAGACACAGCCAGTGTTGAAAATTAATTTATATAAACTTGCAATTAAATAAATTATGTTAAAGGAGAAGCATTTTCAGAATGGAAAGCAATGAGAAGACTGGCAAAAATTGTCAAAATCAACTTCTTCAGAACTCTAGAAATTAGCCAAAGGTTTGCAACATCACAAGGAGCATTTATTAAAGAAAAATGGCTGACCTCAGTAAGAACTGTGAGCTTTGTGGTGTTTTCACTTGCTGTAACCACATTCTTCTCTCCCATCTCCGTGGTAGTCTTGAAAAACATCAACCTCACAACCATGGTAGCTGTGAAAATGAACAGCCTAGCTAAGCTACTGGAGGGGACAGAACAGGTTTGGAGCTCTCCCGAAAGCTGCATCCCCAGAAAACTGTCACTATTTGACCTGTCAGGCAGCTCCCTAGAAAGGCATCATTCTCAGGATTTGTCTTTATTTGACAGGATTCAGAACTCCCTTAGTGCAAACAGCACTACCCCCAGTTTGTTGAAAACAACCAGTGGCAACTGTTTAACACTGCAGCTTCCTGAGCCAGTGACACCAGATGGCTGATTGAAAATGTAAAAGGAAAATTTAGGAAATGAGGTGCCAATGGGCAACTGATTTGGAAAATAGTCTGACAGTTCCTCAAAATGTTAAACGTAGGGTCACCATATGACCCAACAATTCTACTCCTAGATATACACCTAATATAATTGAAGACATATGTCCACATCAAACCTTGTCCACCAATATTCATAGCAGCATTATTTATAATAGCCAAAAGGTGGAAACTACGCAAATGTCCATCAACTGATAAATGGATTAACAAAATATGGTATATCTTTGTAATGGAATATTATTCAGCAATAAAAAGGAGTGAAGTACTGATACATGTTACAACACAGATGAACCTCAGTGAGACCAATCAACACACATGAACCTCAGCCTTATGCTCAGTGAAAAGAGCCAGTCACGAAAGGTATATTGTATGATTCCATTTTTATGAAATGTCCAGATTAAGTAAATCCATAGAGACAGAAATTAGGTTAGTGGTTGCCTAGGGCCAAGGGAAGAAATGGGGAGTGACTGCTAATAGGTATGGAGTTTCTTTGGGGGGTGTCGGAAATATTCTAAAATTAAATAATGGTGATCATTGCACAACTTCGTAAATATACTAAAATCCATTTTAAAGGAGTGAATTTTGTGGTTTGTGAATTATATCTCAAAGCTGTTATTAAAAAGCAAAGGTTATAACTACTAAAATGTCAATTATTTTGCTACATTTACTGTTATCTATGCTTTGAAGATTTTTTCTTTTTTTTTTTTGCGGTACGCGGGCCTCTCACTGTTGTGGCCTCTCCCGTTGCGGAGCACAGGCTCCGGACGCGCAGCCTCAGCAGCCATGGCTCACGGGCCCAGCCGCTCTGCGGCACATGGGATCTTCCCGGACCGGGGCACGAACCCGTGTCCCCCGCATCGGCAGGCGAGCTCTCAACCACTGCGCCACCGGGGAAGCCCTTGAGGTTATTTACATCTGTTGTAGCTATATAGTATAGCAGAAATGCTATATAATACTGTACTACTGCACAACTCTTGCCAACTCTGACTCCAGTGATATCATGTCTATAGCTTGAGTATTTACACCATGGAAATTGGCAAACATTACTAATCAAGGCTCTTTTCCTCCCAGAGAGCCACTAGTTATGCGCACGAGTGGTCTTGCCATAGGGCACCCTCCATAGGGTTTCTATGACTGCCGCTTGCTGACTTGAATCCTTTTTGTGGTTGTATTACTTTAATTCAGCTTTGAGCAAATAAAGAGACCATGCAGCTTGGAAATCACCTCTTCCTAGTTCTCTGCCAATGAAACAAAGGCCACACACCTCATCCTCAACTCTCCTTCTAAATGCCTTTGTATCACCTTCTGTTGCCTTGTAGATCCTCTGTCTAAAGCTGACTGAGTCAAGGACAGCTCGCCAGATGTGGTGGCCTTTCAGAGCCCTGAGCCACCACCCATTTATGGAAGTGGGGCCCCAATATGGTAAAAATGAATGAATGCACAATGCTCTAACCAAGATAATTACAGGATTTATAAAAGTACTCAACAGACAGTGAGATTCATGAATGGAATACCACTTTAAAATCACATTATGAGCATATTTTTCCCAAGCTCATCAGGGTGAATGCCTTCATTTGGAAGTGAGTTTTACTTAACAATGACTTACAAATCATTTTCTATATTTCAGGTACTGCTCCAAGCATTTTATGATAACTCTTTAAACTTTATCTAATTTTAGAATATTTTCATCATTCCCAAAAGAAGCTCTGCACTCATTTGCTGTCACTCCCCATCAGGCCCCTCCTTCTAGTCCTTGGAAACCACAAATCTACTTTTTGTCTCTATGGATTTACCTAATCTGGACATTTCCTATAAATGGCATCATTCAATATGTGGGGTTTTGTGACTGGTGTAAGCTACTGACATTCCCATTTTACAGAAGAGGAAACAGAAACAGAGGGGTTAAGTACTTTAGCCAAGGTCACATAGCTAGTAAGTGGCAGAGGCAGGATCCAAACTCAGGCAGCCTGGCTCCAGAGTCCTTGCGAGTCTCAAAATCAAAACTGAATAATGTCAAAAGCAAACACTGAAGGACTTTTGTGAATATGAGCTGTGAGCCAAGTTGCCCTATGTGTGCCCCTCCAGTGAGAGGC